CTTACAAGAAAATGAAAATAAATCAGATCTAAATTATCACTCTCTCGTCCAATCAAATTATGGGCCCGCCACACGATTTCGTGCACCTACCATTTTTTAGGTGTAAAATTGATGGTTCACTTTTTTAAGAAGCTGTTCTTTAGAACTAGAAAAAAAGAGCTAGATATTAAAAGAAACGGGAAGGAACTATTAGAAATGGGCACAAACGCCCATGATTTCAGAAATGGATACCAACGTCCCCTGTTAAGGAACCATTTCAACCAAAAACTCAAGCTTGTGATTGTTGACCAAGAATAGTTTTGATATACTCCAACACGTCCCCTCACGTACAGACATGAGTTCTTTGGGTCTTGGCCGTGAAACCTTATTTGTTTTAAACTGGGTAGTGACGGTGAGTTTCGAACTCGTGACCTCTTGGTTATCAAGGCTCTGATACCATGAGAGTGTATTTGAAAACAACTTATAGCTTTTACTTTATTAAAATACAATTTTAAATATTTGGCAATATACTTTAGCTTATAAATTGTGGATTCAGAAGTAGAAATTAAGGGTCTAAAAGTGTTTTCCAGCAAAGCTAAAAAATATTGTTTACTGCTTCTAACTTTTACCTTTTACTCTTCCATTATTCACTACACTCCCAAACTTTCTCGATGTCAAATAACCAATTCAACCAAAAGCTCAATTTTGACCAAGAATAGTTTTTATATATTCTAACATCCCTTATCTTTATTTCTTTATTGTTTTTCTTTTTTCTTCTCTTTTTTAATAAAAAAATAAAATATTTGTATTTGAGATAATTAACGATTGTTTTTTCAAAACTTTTTTTTGAAATATTTTTAAAATAAAAATTACTTGTATTTGAAATAAAAAAAATTAACATATACTTCATTTGTCTCAAATTAAATATTTTCATTGTGTGACTAAAAAAATTCTTATTTTTTGAATTTGTTAAGACCAAAAAATACAGATTAAGGTCTTTTTATATTTGGTTAATTATATGTTCATAACATTTTTTAGATCAACACACAACATATTTTTCTTTCATAACTTAATATTCCCTATTCTATAAAAATATTTTCTCACTAACTTTTATTTTATTTATTTTTTTCTATTTTTTATTTTAATGTTAGTAAAAATAAAATAAACATTATAAAATTAATTTTTTAAAATATTAAAAAGAGAAAACAATAAAACCAGAAATTGAAGAGATAATGGGAAATGAGCTTCAAGCCTTCAATGGAAAGATGAGAAAATGCTTTATTGATTTTTGTATCATGAAAATGAACTAACAAGGATCTCTTTTGGACAAAAAATAAAAATATTTAATTTGAGACGAATGAAGTATACATTAATTCTTTTTATTTAATTGATTTTTATTTCAAAGACAAAAAATTTGATTATTAAAACACTATAAAAAATAATTTTAAAAAAGAACTTACAAAATTAGTTTTGAAAAAAGAGAAGAAAAAAGAAAAATAATAAATAATAAAATGGAGGGGGGGCGTTGGTGTCCATTTTTAAAACTATAGAATACATCGGAGCTATTCACCATGATTTAAAAGGTATTGTAATCTGGAAGGGCATTGATGTAAGAATATCAAACCACGAGCTTCCATGCCATTAGTTTTAAAACCATGAGGGGTAACGATACACATTTACCAAACTACAAGGAATATTGGTGTAGTTAACTCCTAAGAAATATAACAAATGACAAAAGAAGTAGAAGTATTTTTTACAAAATAAAATAACTTTTTAAAAGTACAAGTATATTTTTGAAAAATAAATAAAATACTCTTCGCATCCAACAATTATCTTCCTATTTATTATTCACATGGTCAAACTTTATACATCTTATTGGCCTATTTTTGTTGCCTATTTGATAAAATAATATAGTCATGTCACATCTATTTTTGTAGAACTTTTGATGTTATCTATGACATTGAAATTCAATATCATTTGAACTGGAGTATTTTTTAAAAAAAAAACTTCTTAACATTTTGTTTTTTAAATGTTATTGATTTTTTTAAATGCTACATTTTTATACTAACTGGGATATTTTATATATATAAAAAAGTATCCTAAATAGTAAATAGGAGTAAAACATAAAGAAAGTACCAAAATAGGAGGTTCATGTTTTCATTCCTTAAATAGGAGTTCACATTGTGGTAATGTAATACTGTACATGTGTATTTTACTATATTTTTTGGTAATGTACATGATCATGATTGATAGTGTGAATGTATTTTAACTATTATATCGGAAATAAAAATTTGAAACTCTATATTCAATGTTTTTCTCTTACTTTAGTCTTTTTCCCTTTTAAATATGTATTTCTATTAAAAAATCTTCTTGGATAGGAGTAAAAAGAATGAAAATACCAAATAGGAGTTCTAAGTCTTTTAAAACCAAAATAAGAATGACAGTGCAGTGTAAGATTACGCGTTGGAAATGTCATGAAAAAGTGATGACAATGTAGTATATCGGTGTGATTAGCCAATCGTCGTTGATTCGCGGTGGCACGCTGATGGCCGGCGACGACAGATGACAGTGTGGCAGTTACAATGTGACAATGTGGCGAGTGTGTCAGTGTAACAGTGTGGACTCTTATTTTGGTCTTAAAAGATTTATGACTTCTATTTTAGTATTTTCATAGTTTTTACTCCTATATAAGGAGTTCTCCCATTTCTATTTTTTAAATCTTTACCATTTTTCATATAAAATAATTTAAAAATAAATTCAATCAAATATTGTAACGCGCAATAAAAAATAATTGTTGAACGGAATGAATAATTTTTAATTTTTAAAAATTAATATATCTGAAAAAAACATAAAAAGTGACAAAATCAATAACTAGTCCTTGTAAGACATATCATTGAGATTTTAACTAATACTAGTATCACACCCGTGCGTTGCACGGGTCATTTTTATGTTATTAAATTCAAATTATTTTTCAATGATAAAAATGAGATGCAATAAAATATAGAGATTATATTATTTTAAGGTTAAAAACATCATTGTTTTACAAAATTCGAAAGACTTGTTTATAGACTACATTATTGTACAATTTGTGGGGATATTTATAGTATATTTAATTGTAATAGGCTATAGGCTATTATAATTATAATTATAATAAGAAGGGTTAACTTTTTTCGAAATTGGGTGTAATTATTCTTACCATAATTATTTTTTTCGAAACTGTGTGTATAATTGTATAACTTACCCTTTTTAATTATTTCCAATTTTCAAAAACTTACTCTTTGCATTTGTATAACTTACCTATATTAAAAACATACGCTTTGGATTTGTATAACTTACCTTTTTGTATTACTCACATTAATTATTATAAAAATAATAGCTATTATTATATTTATACCTTTTTTAATAATTTTAAATCCACAATTTCAGCCACTTACCATTTTAACATCACAATTATTTACTTACCTTTTGGCCATTTTATAATTATTATAAATATAATAATTATAATAAGTATTACTACAATTTCGGCCACTACAATTATTAACTTACCTTTTTTAATAAGTTCTAATTTTCAATACGTT